GGGGGGGGGGGGGGGGGGGGGGGGGGGGGGGGGGGGGGGGGGGGGGGGGGGGGGGGGGGGGGGGGGGGGGGGGGGGGGGGGGGGGGGGGGGGGGGGGGGGGGGGGGGGGGGGGGGGGGGGGGGGGGGGGCAAAGGCCTTTTTGTTGATTGAAAAACAGGCCAGGCCCAACAAAACTAGTCAATATGTACCTGGTGGGAGTGGGCTTCAAAGCTTGCAGGCCATGGCTGAGGGTCCTGCACTGCTTTTATCTTTCTGCACCTCCATAATGCTATGATCAGCTGGAGAAGATGATAATTGAGTTTGAAAGTTCCTTAAAACAGATCAAGTTTCTTAAATCATTCAAAAAAGATTGATCATTTCCCTTTTGCCTGCTAAGAATCAGAGACAAGCATACAGCAGCAAATGGAAAGTACAAAAAAAAAAGTGTGCTATGAATGCCTTAATGACCAATGTCCAAGTCTCATATGATGTTAAATGCAATATTTAAGAGGAAAAAAATATCAAATGCCGAATGGCTCCAACCTGATCTTATTGAATGGCATCCCAGACGTAACATGCACTTATGAATATGACATAGAAGACCAAAACAATACACAAAGCATGGGACCCAGTTGCTTTTGCTGTTTTGTCACTTAGCCAATGCTCTAATTATCATAGCTTTTTATCTCTCCACCCTCTTTGATCTCCTTTTTCATTTAGATCAAAAACTAAAAGGAATCATCATCATCATCATACTCCTCATCCTCATCAATCATTCCATCCTGGATCATGTGAGAAAAGTCTGTCACTGACAGACTGTTTTTTTTTTTTCCCCCCTTTTCCTTTTCTGAACTTTTTTTTTTCCTCAAGTGGGGTGGTTCTTTCAAGAAGTTTTCTAGTGGATTAATTAAGATTTTCTGCGTTGTTGCCAACTGCACCATTCCTTTCCTTAATTTCTTCATCTTTTTTTTCATTTCAATTTCTTAACTACTGGGAACTGCCACTTTGGTCCTCAATTCACAATCATTATGGCCACCCAAACTCTTGATTCCCATCAAACTTCTACATCCGATGAGGTGAGTTTTTCCTCCAAATCACTTCTGATTGTTCGTACTTTAGTTTCTTCAGCTTCTTATTTTGCTGCATCTTTTCTGACTACTCCCTTTTGTGGAGATCGTTGTTTGTTCTCTTGTTTTTTAGGATTTTTGATCAACACCCACTTGTTTTTTTTTTCAGTTTAAACTTCAAACACCCCTCCGTTTGATGTTTTTGTTAATCTGCATGTAATATTGACTGCATGCAGTATATATATATTCCCTAAAACTGAATATTACATGTAGAACCCACACATTTATTTGTTAATCAAGAACTAATTTTTCTGCTACCAGGTTATCTTATCTATAGTTTAGAACCATGGCTGTAGTTTAGTTTATTAGTTATTTTGAGTCCTTCACTGAATTCCCTAATTTTCATCTAATTTGTGTAAGGGTTCTTTATTCACACCTTGATAGATTAGAGCTGAGTTGTAAGAGCATGTTATTCTGTCACAGGGTAGATTGAATCCGTCAATTCCTTTCCTTTCAGTAATATTTTCTGTGTTTTTTAAATTTTTAGTTAATTTTTCTTGTACTGTAGAAAATGGTGAAGTTAAGTAGTGAAACAGTACAAATGGAACAGATAAATGTCTCTTCACCACAAGAAACTGTAGAAGACGACAAAGAGAAAGGCAAAGCTGACAACGTACATATTCCAGATAGTACTTTGTCCACAACAGAAGAAAAAGAAGTGGATATTCAGGTTGAGCCTCCTGTTATTGAGGTGAAAAAAAGAGATGAAGATCCTGTTGTTGGTCTATCAATTCAAGACACTGTGAAGGTGGAAAAAGAATCACCTTTTGTAGCAGAGGTAGTGACCTCTGTTGCTGAGGAGAGCCCATCATCTGAACCGGTTGGAGGAGAAGCAACAGAGCTGCCAGTAATTGCGTTCTTGGAGAGGAGTATAAAGGAGTTTGATGCAGCTGACAATGTTAAGAGCCCACCAGAAGCGCAGCCAACTGCACAAAAATTAGAAGAGCAACCATTAGAGGCTGTGGGCCTTCCAAAGTTGGAGGATGAATCATCAGACGATACGGTTGACAGTCAAGGAAAAGAGAAACCAGGTGCCGCTGTACAGTCTGCAACAGAAGCCGCAGAAAAAGTTGAAACTTTAACTGCGCCTGTTGAAGTAGAAGAGAAGAAGCCACAGATTATTGATAATCCAGAATTATCAGTTGTTGTAGACTCAGGTAAGGGCCCAGCAGAGGAAAATGAGGAACTGGCGACAGAATGCGTCAGTGTAGAGAAAGAACCAGACAAGGAACCAGAAGCTGGTGTTCCAGAAGAATCCGTTGAACCAGCAAAGAAAGAAGCTCAGCCGATAGAGGTTGTTCCAGCGGAAGAACCAATAGAGGTGGTTGCAAAAGAAATTAGTGAAACAGTTGAACCTCCAGCAGAAGAGAAGCAGCCAGCCGAAGTTCATCCAATCAAAGGATTGGAAGAAGTGAAAGCAAAAGAAGTTCCCAAGGAAAAGGAGCAGGCATCTGAAGTTGAACCAGCGCAAGAATCAAGAGAGGTGATTGAAACAAAGATTAGTGAATCTGTAGAAGTTCCCCAGGAAAGTGAATTGCTAGTTGAAGTTCATCAACCAAAAGAACTAGTAGCGAAAGAAAAAGAGACAAATGAATCCATCGAACCTCTCAAGAATGAGGAGCAGCCGGTTGAAGTTATTTCCCAGAAAGAATCAGTTGAAGTTCTGGTAAAAGAGGTTAACGTATTAGTTGAACCTCACAAGAACAAGGAGCAGGCAGATGAAAGCTTTTCAGTGATAGAATCTGGAGAAGAGAACAAAAAAGAAGCCAATGATTCCACATTGGGTTCTGAAGAAGTTGAGAAACAAGAAAAGGAGATCATTGAAGTGAAGGATGGTACAGGAGAGTTATCTGAAATAACTAAACAAGTTCTTGACACTCGTGCTGAGGCTGAAACCGTGAAAGATGAGAAGCAATTAGCATCTGGAGATGACCATGGCCCATCAATTGAAGGGAAAATCCAGGAAGAGGGAAGTGATAAACAAGATTCAGTAGGTCAGGTGGCTGAATCTGGTCCTATAGAAGACTCTGTTAAGGGCCCAGAAAAAGAGCAACCAGCTACAGAGTTTGTAAGCGTGGAGAAAGAGCCAAAGAAGGAACCAGAGACAACTAGTCTTCCAGAAAAATCTGTAGAACCACCAAAGAAAGAAGCGCAGCCAATTGAGGCTGTTTCAGTGAAAAAACCAGAAGAGGTGGTTGCAAAAGAAGTTATTGAAACCCTTGAACCTCCAATGCAAAAGGAGCAGCCAGCAGCGATAGCAAAAGAGAGAATTGATGCGGTAGCAGAAGAAGTTACTGAAACAATTGAACCTCCAAAGAAAGAAGCGCAGCCAATTGAGGTTGTTTCAGTGACAAAACCAGAAGAGGTGGTTGCAAAAGAAGTTATTGAAATCATTGAACCTCCGATAGGAAAGGAGCTGCCAGCAGTGATAGCAAATGAGAGAATTGATCTGGTAGCAGAAGAAGTTACTGAAACAATTGAACCTCCAACAGAAAAGGAGCAACCAGTAGTGATAGCAAAAGAGATAAGTGAGCTGATCCCAAAGGAAGTTACTGAAACAGTTACAACGGGAAAGGTGCTACCAGTAGTGACAGCAAAAGAGATAAGTGAGGTGGTTGCAGAAGAAGTTATTGAAACGATTGAACCTTCAACAGAAAAGGAGCAACCAGTAGTGATAGCAAAAGAGATGAGCGAGGTGGTTGCAGAAAAAGTTACTGAGACAGATGAAACGGTTGAACCTCCAATAGAGAAGGACCAACCCGTGGTGATAGCAAAAGAGATGATTGAGGTTGTTGAAGAAAAAGTTAGTGAAACAGTCGAACCTCCAACAGAAATGGAGCAACCTGTGGCGATAACAAAAGAGATAAGTGAGGTGGTCGCAAAAGAAGTTACTGAAATGGTTGAACCTCCAACAGAAAAGGAGCTATCAGTAGTGGTAACAAAAGAGATAAATGATGTGGTTGCAGAACAAGTTACTGAAACAGTTGAAACGATTGAACCACCAACAGAAAAGGAGCAACAAGTAGTGGCAGCAAAAGAGATGGGCAAGGTGGTCGCCAAAGAAGTTACCGAAACGGTTGAATCTCCAACAGAAAAGAAGCTATCAGTAGTGGTAGCAGAAGAGATAAATGATGTGGTTGCAGAACAAGTTACTGAAACAGTTGAAACGATTGAACCACCAACAGAAAAGGAGCAACAAGTAGTGGTAGCAAAAGAAATGGACGAGGTGGTCGCAAAAGAAGTTACTGAAACGGTTGAATCCCCAACAGAAAAGGAGCTATCAGTAGTGGTAGCAAAAGAGATAAATAATGTGGTTGCAGAACAAGTTACTGAAACAGTTGAAACGATTGAACCACCAACAGAAAAGGAGCAACAAGTAGTGGCAGCAAAAGAGATGGGCGAGGTGGTCGCAAAAGAAGTTACTGAAACGGTTGAATCTCCAACAGAAAAGGTGCTACCAGTAGTGATAGCAAAAGAGATAAGCGAGGTGCTTGCAGAACAAGTTACTGAAACGGTTGAACCTCTAACAGAAAATGAGCATCCGGTAGTGATAGCAAAAGAGACAAGTGAATCCATTGAGCCTCTCAAGAATAAGGAGCAATCAGATGACGTTATTTCCCAGAAAGAATTAGTAGAAGTTATAGCACCAGAGGTTAGTGCATCCTTTGACCCTCCTAAGAACAACGGGCAGGCAGATGAAGGTTTTCCAATGACAGAATCTGGTAAGAGACTAAAAGAGGAGCCTCCAGCTAAAGAATGTGTCAGCGTAGACAATGAACCAAGGGAGGAACCAGAGACAAGTCTTGTTCCAGACTTATTCGTTGAACCTCTCAAGAAAGAAGAGCAGACTAATGAGGTTCTTACAGAAGAAGAACAAGTAGAAATTATCACAAAAGAAATTATTGAAACAATTGAACCTCCAACAGAAAAGGAGCAGCCCGTTGAAGTTGACCGCCAAAAAGAATCAGGAGAAGTGACAGAAAGAGAAATTACTGAAACCACAGAACTCGTTCATCCAGCTCATGAATCGAGGGAAGTGACTGCAGAGAAGATTAGTGAAACTGTTGAACTTTCCAAGGAAAATGATTTGTTAACCGAAGTTCATCCAGTGAAAGACTTGGAAGTCGTACCAAAAGGCACTAATGAATCCATTGAACCTCCCAACAACAAGGAGCAGCCAGATCCAGTTCTTTCCCAGAAAGAATCATCAGAAGTTATAGAAAAAGAGACTAGTGCATCCTTTGAACCTCTAAAGAACAAGGAGCAGGTAGAGGAAGATTTTCCAGTTACAGAATCTGGAGAAGTGAAGGGAAAAGAGACCAGTGATTCCACAGGTTCTGAAGAAGTTGTGAAACAAGAACCCGAAGCAATTAAAGTACAGGAAAATGTGAGAGAATTACCTGAGCTGACCATTCAAGAAACTGACGTGGAGGTTGAAAATATAAAAGATGAGAAGACATTGGTTTCTGAAGGTGACATTAACCCACCCATTGAGGAAGGAAAACCCCAAGAAGAAGAGGCGCAATATGCAGTGGAAAATGATGAACAAGTTTCAGTTACTCAGGTGGCTAAATCTAACCTTATAGAAGATTCTGATAAGGGCTTAGAAAAGGAACCACAAGCTAAAGAATTTGTCAGTATAGACAAAGAGCTGAGGAAGAAACCAGAGACAACTTGTGTTCCAGAATTGTCTGCTGAACCTTCCAAGAAAGAAGAGCTGGTTGAAGTTCTTTTACCAGAACAGGCAGAGGTGATTGAAAAAGAAATAACTGAAGTAGTTGAACTTCCGACAGAAAAGGAGCAGCCCATTGGAGTTCATCCACTAGTGGTGGAAAAAGAGATTACTGAGCCCACAAACCTTCCTAAGACAAAGGAACATGCAACTGAAGTACAGCCAGTGCAAGAATCAATGGAAGTCATAGAAGAAAACATTAGTGAATCTGTAGAAGGTCCGAAGGAAAGTGAGTTGCTCATTGAAGTTCAACCCGAGAAAGAACTAGAAGTCGTGGTGGAAAAAGACACTAGTGAATCCATTGAACCTTCCAAGAACCAGAAGCAACCAAATGAAGTTCCACCTGAGAAAGAATCAGAAGTTATAGCAAAAAAAATTAGTGAGTCCGTACCTCCCAGCAACACAAAGCTTCCAGATGAAGGTTCTCCTGTGACTGAATCTGAGGAGGTGAGAGCAAAAGAGACAGGTTCGGAAGCAGTTGAAAAACGAGAACTTGAAGTTACAGAAGTCAAGGACGGTAAAGAAGAATCACCTGAAATAACCAATCAAGTTCTGAATGATTATGTGAAGGTTGAAACTGAGGCAATTGAGAAGAGTGAAAGTGTGAAAGGTGAGAAGTCATTAGCTCTTGGGGATGACAGTAAGCCACCTTTGGGAGTAGAACAAATCCACAAAGAAGAGAAGCAACGCACAGAGGAAAGAGACAGACAAGATTCACTTCCCCAGGGGGCTCAACCTAGTGTAGAATTAACTACAGGGGACTTTCCTCTTCAGGATGTGAAAAAAGATGAAAAAAAGGAATCGATCAATATCGATGGGGTTGAAAAGGTGGGAGAGGAAATACAGAAATTAACTCTGCCAAGGGAAGAGGTGGCTCCAAGAGATTTTGAAACTGATGCTGTGGTAGTAGAAAAGTCAATTGATGACCAAAAGGCTGGTGAGGTAGCTGACCTGATTGCGGAAACCAAGATAGAGGAGAGTATTAAAGATGAGAAACCAGCAGAGGTTGAAACTGGCATAGCTCATGTAAATGAAACGCCTAAAGAACCCCAGGAACCTGAGTTGGAAGTAAAAGATAAAGAAGCTGTGAAAACAGGAGAAGTTGCAAAAGTGAATGACAAGAAAGAAGTTCCATCAAAGCATAGTCATAAGCATTCACACAATCTTTTATCGAAAGTAAAACAGTCACTGGTGAAGGCAAAGAAAGCTATCATTGGTAAGTCACCCAGCTCAAAAACCCTTTCCTCTGAAGCAAGGGATGACGTTAAAGTTAAGTGATGGTGTGGAACTAATAAACACTGAATAGTTCCCACGAATGCCGTATTACCCTTATTGTTTGGACACGCAGCATATTCAGCGTTGCGGTGTCAGTATCATTTGATTTCTCTTGGTTTGTTTCTTATTCAGAAAAGAGTGTGTATAGAAGAAGGTTTCCTTTAATGCTATACTTGATACTGTACGAATATATTGGTTTTTCTTTGTATTTATTATTTGTTGGTGTTTTTTTATAGTAATTATAAGAAGATGTGGTTGTGAGGATTTTTTGGGATAGTTTTCATAGTTGTAATGTAAACTTTAATATTGTACCGTGATGTGTATATTGTCAGCATTTTTGTGGATCTTGTAAGGAGGCTTCCTTTGTCTTTCCGTGGAGTTAAAGTTATTACTAAAGGGTTTTGTCAAATCGAAGGCAATGTCAATATTGTGAAACTTAAGTATGGGTAATGGCGTACTTGCATGGAATGCAAGGGATGCGCCTGTCTATTGACATTCGACATCAACATATACTGTAAAGGAAGAAATGTCTTTTTCCTTATTTCCTCATCAGGCTGCTCAATTTAGTACAACTACAAGGGAACTTCATTTTACAGACAACAAAAGCAATGGCCTTTGGCACAACATGAAAAAGGCAAGATACCGTGCAATTCAGGATTTAAGAAATGTCAAAGATATAACTAAAGTTGCTAATCTCATATGCTTTTAAGAAATGTCAAAGATATAACTAAAGTTGCTAACCTCATATGCAACATAATAAAGATCAAGCAACTCTGCCTCTGGTTTGATAGGCATCAGTTCTATAAACCTCTTAGCTCTATTCAACTGCTCAGCACGACCAAGCAAGTCAACTATGCACGCATAATGTTCATATCCAGGGTTACTACCATGCACTTAAACCATTGAATTAAAGTAGAAGAATCCTTCTTCAACCCGACCAGTGTGGCTACAAGCAGAGAGAACAGAAATAAAAGTAATGTAGTCAGGTGTAATCTCCTCTCTCAACATTTCTTTCAACGATTCAACAACCTGGCTAGCATGACCGTGCTGTTGACAAGTTGCAATTATGGCTGTCCAACAAAACACATTATCGTCCTTAGTTTCTTCAAATATCCAAAAAAAACATCTGTCAAGCTGCTGCATTTTGCATACATTGTGACCAAAGAACTTGTAACACACAACATGTTCACAAACCCAGATTGTACGATCTGATAATGGATAAGCGTTCCCTGATATAATGGCAAGATTTCTCAAGAATGAAGCGCAGAAGAGTATGATGCATCATCAGGTATTAAACCTTTCCTCCTCATCATCCAAAAACTATTGTAGGCACCTTTATAATTGTCGCTATAAACTCATGCCTTGATCATTATATTCCTAGCCGCAACATCTCTAAACGCCAATATTTGAGAACAACTTCACAACATCATAAAACAAGCCACATTTACCATACATGTCAATCAGCGAGTTATTAACATGAACCAAATTCTCGACACCAAGCTTCAGAGAAACCCATGAACTTGTTTCCCGAACTCCAAGTTACCAACATGGTGATAAGCACTAAAGCACTGGAAAAGCTTATGTCATCAAGAACAGTTAGAGAAAATGGCCCGATCATAAACTTTGTTCTGCAAGAACCCCACAATCATAGAGTTCAAAGACACAAGGTTTCCTACAGGCATTTCCTCAAACACCTTCTCAGCAGTGCACATATCACAACATTTCGCATACATATCGACCAATGCACTGGCAACAAAAACTTCAGCATGGAATCCATGTTTCCAAATTAGAAAATGCATCTGATCTCCATGAACACAAGCCATAGAATCAGCAAGCAAATAAAACAGCAGAGACGCCTCATATGGTTAAAGAAACTCAAAGCCTGAAAGGGTCTTTTAGAACAGGCAAATTGGGTAACAAAAGAAGTTCAAGAGACGAGATTCCCACAGTCATCTGAGGCAGAGGAGAATAGCAACAAGGTCTGGCCAGCAAAGCCACATTTGGGGTACAAATCTGAGGAGGTTGTTGAAGAGAAAGACGGTGGTGATGAGTTGGGCATGGATGCAAGTGGCCCGTTCAGGGATCCGGGGCCTCCGGGCAAGGGATGTTCTGAGTGGTGGGAAACAATTATATATATTTTCATAATTGTTTTTTTAATTATTTGTTCCGCCCACTTTTAAAAATAAAATTTCAAATATTTTGAATATAATTTTTCAAAAGAAATAGGGTATATTTGAGAATAAATGAATTAATGTTTTACATTTTAATATTTTACTTATATTAGAAATAAAAATTTGAATAAATGATCAAAGCGACAATGTGGATGCAGTGGATGTAGTGTGAATGCAAGAAATATTTGAAAATACATCAATATAAAAATTATTTATTTTAAAAGAGAGAATTCAATATAATGAATCAAATCGTTAAATCGTTGACAAGTTTTTACAATGAAATTTTGTGAAAGTAAAAGACTACACTGACACTCCGGGACATGTTTTCCTCTGTGACCATCCATGTCTCTCAAACACGCCCTCTCTCGACTCGAAGCATCACGCACCTAAAAAGGATAATGTAGGCTTTCATCGCTTTCTAGGCTTAACAGATTCCCATGGACTTCTCATTAGCTCTAGTACGTCTGGTTCTAGTCTTATCCCATTGGGCTATTCTGGTTATCTGTCCTTTCATTTTAAACCTTGAGAGTTTCCTATGCCGAGCTGAGAATGACTGACGACCCTCTGTGAGGCGCTACCTCATGCATGGCTCTATAGTGTCTTACCTAGGGTGAGATAATGCCTCCTAGGTCCATAAAGTCACCCTCATTGTGGAGCACGATCCTTCCCTTATCCCATCCAGCTAATGGTCTGTACGACGTGGGTCTCTCATTTTCCATGCAGAAATGGCTAGGTTCAGTCGAGTTTTGAGCAGAAATCCGTGTTCCCCCATGAAACTGTTGACACTGTTCACACATCTAGCAGCCTAAGGACAACTTTTAAGGTAGTATGTAAGTCATGGTGTTCTGCTAGACTCCTAGAGAAAGATTAGGTCTAAATTAGGTAACTAGTCAACCTAACCACAAATCCCTATCTTAACATGATACTTGTTCATTAGAATTAACTAGGTGTGTACACAATAGTTATCTAGAATCATCGTACATAATCCATGCAAAATAAACATACAAGCTCAACGGGGCGGTAACATCCATCAATCACTCAAAGCACAAATTCTCATTCTCTGTAACTTGAGTTTCAAGAAGTCTTCTTGTAACAAGTGTCAAATGACTCCCATCTTCTAGTTCCTCCTCATTCTCCTAGACTTCTTATTCAACTAGCTCATCTGGGTCACTTTCCTCACCATTTGTGACAACTTGTCCATTCTTGATGATCATGACTCTCTTGTTAGAACAATCACGACTAATATGATCAATTTCTTGGCATTTTCAACATTCGAACCTTCTTGTATTTCTCCACTTTCTCGTTACCCTTGGAGGTCTCAGTTTTGTCTTGTTGTCAAGCTCATACTTGCCTTTGACCTTGAAATCCATCTTTTCAATATTTGTCTTCTTTTTTCAAGGGTTGAAAGTAGTAGACTTAGAAACAACATACATCTTGGAGTTCTCCTTCTCCCTTCAATTTTGACAGCAAGGTGTAACAATTTTTGCATATCAAAGTACGTTTGTCTATCCACTTGATCAAGTTTTCGGTTCAACCCACCAATGAATCTAGTCATTATATTCTTCTCGTTTTCATCAATGCATGCTCTATTCATAAGGGCCACCATTTCTTTGTAATATTCTTCAACACTTTTGGATCCCTCTTGCAAAGTATAAAGTTTTTGCTTGAGTATTCGAGATTAATGCTTAGGAATGTACCTTTTTCTAATTAATGTCTTCAATTCCTCCCACATTTCAATTGGTTCTTCATAATTTCTCCTCCACTCTGATTTCATAGATGTCCACCATATAATTGCATAATCACAAAATTCAGTCACGACAAGCTTCAACTTTCTTTCTTCACTAAAGTTGTTGCAATCGAAAATATGCTCAATTTTGCTTTTATATTATAAATACTCCTCTAAATAAGACCTCCATAAAAAGTTGGAATTTTAAACTTTATTCCCCCAACTTCTCTTTCTTCTCCTCTCTCATATTGGTACTCCCTCTCAATTCTTCTTCGTGCAAGTTTTTCTACCCCTTTTTTTTTACCCCTTCCTCTCCCTCGACCAACATCTCTCCCTCCCCTAGAATTATGTCCAACTAAAATGGTGATATTGCCATCTTCTTCATGTTCTACTTCTTCATTCAAGATTACTTTGCTTCCTTGAAGATTACCTAAAACTATTTTAGTTCGCTCCATCGGCTTATCATGGCACTAATAACTTGATTCAGATGAGTAATAGCCAATTTGTGCTTCTTTCAACCTAGCTTCAATAATCTCTCTCCTCCATTTTCTTTGTCTTGGTTCATGATTGTAAAAACAATAGTTAAAATATGTTTAGTACCTCATACACTCAACTCATTGATCTTAGGTTCAGGAACACTTGTTGATATGAACCACGACCAAGGAATTTTCATACCTCAAGGTCCAATTACAAGGACGAGAGCCAAGAAGCTACAACAAACCTTATACAGTTATATTCAAGCTATGGTGAGCTCATCAAAGGAAATTCTAGAAGACGCTAGAGACCTCCCTTATATGTTGTGCAAAGTTGAGGTTCAAGAAAGAGATGAATTAAATACACTCTAAGTTGCATTTAATGAACTCCGCTGAATTTATGAAACTAGTCCAAGGATGACTAATAAGCACATTTTATTCATTGCATTATTTAATTATAGTTTAACTATTTGTTTGTCATATTTAAGCTTAGCTTAAATATAGGAGTTAAGGTTATATTGTAACCCACATAGGTTACTATATTCCACCATTAACTAGCCATTTTAATACGGAGGTTATGAGTATTTCTCATTTACTAGCCCATTTAATTTGGGAGTTATGTATGACATAGGTTAAGGTTGTAAAGGCTATATAAACCCTTCTTTTCTTTGATTAGACATCAGATTTTGGAATTAAGAATAGAATTTCTATTTTAGCTTTGTTAAGAGCTAAACTTTCTTTGCAAATTCTTGTGTTTAGAACTTACACGTAGAGTCATTCAAGTAGTATTGATCAAACCTCTTGTGGAGTGATTCGAATCACGAGTTTAGAAACGAGTTTTCTTTACTCTTGATCTTGATCTTCAAGGTAATCCGTTCCCTACTTTCCCTTGGGTTGATTTCCATATCACTCGTATTTATTACACACAAATGTAGGCTATTTAGGAAAGTGACTAAATTATGATCAAGGTATGG